CTAACCTGCAAGCCGGTCGGCGTGTGGATTATACGGCATCCGGCGGGCCGAGCCACTGCGATAAGGCCACCCTAAGGCTCCTGACAAGGAGGAGAGAGTTAGGGTGACGTGGCTTTCCGCGTACGGCCTGGCACGGCGGGATGGAGGGAATAGGGCACGGTTGAGGGCTTAGAACCGAGGTTTTGCTACACAAAATGGCTATTTCCCGTCTTACCGTGATGGATTGTGTGGATTTTTAAGGAGGCAGGTGTTTGCTATGGGGGGAATCAATAGATCCTAAAGGATCTTTGGGGAGTGCAGGGGAAAGGTCAGCAGAATGTAGGTGACAGCACACCAGTGTGACAGTCGGCTGTTAAACCTTCAACAGCTTCCCTTTAATTCTGCCCACGTTCGCCTTCCCAAGGCTTTCTTCAGATTTCCCAACTAGCTGAGTAAGGTCTATTGCTACAGAATCAGTTCACAACAGCTCTCTGTCTGTTTTTTATTTCCGTCTAAGGCTTCAGAAGTAAGCACGCAGAGACAGGATGGTCTGCTCGGGAGTCTCTCAACTCAGCGTTACTCTGTATTTGAGATCTGAAGTCAAGTTGCCCTTTCAGCATCTGCCAACAGACACCTGGAGGCTTTGGGTTATTGGCAGTTGTGCTGGGTTATGGCTAGAGAAGGCTGTTTCTGGAGTCTTGCTTTAAAAATGCTTTTGTTCTGCTTATCTTACATCATTTGCCAGAGGATACTTGCTTGTTTATAGGCAGAGCCAAGCATGTATTTCAGGTCAAGTGCCATGTTCCTGTCTCTTTCTTACTACTCAGTGGTCAAGCATCCCGGTTCTCTGATTGCCCACTCTTAGGTCAACTGACCCCACAGTCCCTTTCAAAACTCACTTTTATGACAGAGGACTTGTGTAGGGATGTGGTGAAGCAGTGAATCCCACGGTTGGGCCTTAATCTCTCTTTGCTGCTGAAGCTGACATCCAGGTAGGCCTGCTCGTGGAAGTTGTATCTTCCTAGAACTGTAAAATAAAATAAAGTCCTGTACTAGTTTGAAAAGCTACAAAGGTGACACAGTAATTATACAATTCTTGCTTTCCTTCTTATCGTTCAGGTGTGCCGTGGCCTCCCAGCGTGCTGTAACCCCTCTGTTAGGTGCCTGCTTCTTTTTGCGTCTAAGTTTGTGTGGGAAAGGTTAGTTCAAGACACGGTGGCTGCAGGTGGTCTCGCTCCTTCTGCGCTGGGTGGCTGCTTCGGTCCCCTCGATCGGGCTGCCAAACGTAGGAGGCTGGTAGTTAATCCTGGCGGGGCTCGGTAGGGTTTGTGCTGGTGAGCTAAGCACCGTGTGTGTGTGATACCGCAGCACTAACAGTGGCACCCTCTGTTTTGGAGGAATCCGGGGCTGCTGCCCAGGGGCGGCTGAGGTCTGGCTGGGGCCTGGCCACGTGCCTCTGCCCCATTGTCGGGGCTGGCAATTTGGGGAGCCGCCGGGCTGTTTGTCAAGGGTGAACAATGTCCTGTCTGTAGGGGTGAGCTAAGCACCGTGTGTGTGTGATACCGCAGCACTAACAGTGGCACCCTCTGTTTTGGAGGAATCCGGGGCTGCTGCCCAGGGGCGGCTGAGGTCTGGCTGGGGCCTGGCCACGTGCCTCTGCCCCATTGTCGGGGCTGGCAATTTGGGGAGCCGCCGGGCTGTTTGTCAAGGGTGAACAATGTCCTGTCTGTAGGGGACCGCGTTACCGTAAATAACGTTAGAATAGCATGAAAAATCCCTTTCAGGTCAACTCCCCCACAAGTGTTCTGGCTGGGCTATTAGCAGCTTCTCCCGCCCCCGCAGGCCCAGTGAATGGGCAGTGTATTTGGCTGATTTGGGTGATGCTATTCAGCTTTGATGAAAGCAGATAGCAGAGCTTTTACTGTCCAGAGTCGTGTTCATGAGCAGGCTACGGGTAGAGCTGGAAAGGGCAAAAATGGATCACTCTGCATAATATCCTCTAGATAAAGATAAGCTCTGCTTAGAAGGCCCCAAGGGCACAGTGCTCAAAATAATCGGGACATTTGAGAGCTTTCTTTACTCTGTTTTTGTCACCACTTCTTGGGATGGAGAACCCAGTGTGCAGAATGTGCCATAGCTGACAAGGCTGGTGTCGTGGTTAATCAGGACCACTCCACTGAATGGTGTGCACTGTATGGTGCCCAAAGCGCGTGCTTTTACACCGCGGCTGCGTGGTCAGATGCAGACAGTCCAACAGGGCCTGCCGAGTTCAGCTTCGGCAGTCTGGTGGCCTGCAGACAGGAGGTGGCTTGTGTTGGTGACTTGTGGCAGGGGGACGGCGACGCAGCTGCCTGCACCTGCTTGCACAGCCGTGCGTTGGTCTGCTCGCCGCTGGGATGCAGGTAGAGCTGAGCGCAGGAGCTGCAGCGCGGGAGGAGAGCGATGCTCCTCGTTCTTGGATGCTGACAAATACCATATGGTGCAGGGGAAGCTACAGCAAATCCCGTAACAGACAATTATGGGATAATCTGTACGTAGAGGAAGCTTGTTCCTAAAGTCTTGCCTGCTCTGCTTTGTACCCTGAGGCACAAGGATCTCTACATGTTACTGGTTTTCCTGCCTAATGCAGCAACCATCGTTATCCACATGGACATCCCCACCTGTTCCGAGTCCAGCAGGCTGCTGGCATCGGTGGTATCCCGTGGCAGGGAGTTAATTGGGTGTTCTAATAAGGAGAAAGAAGGGGGTTTCCTTGGAGTAATTTTGAGTACATAGCCCTTTTGTATGGCTTTTGTACAGGGAAACGAGGCTGGTTTTCTGTTGTAAGACAGAGGAAGGGAGACTATTTGCCTTACCTCTTCCATACCACAAATTATTTTGTGAACTCCTGTCTTACATACCTTTAAAATTATTTCCAAGCTTTTTAGTCTCTTCACCTCTAAGACTTTCAAAGGCCCCTAGTGACTTTAGCACCCGAGCTTGTTCAGACATTCCTGTTGAAGGACAGAGTTACTGGGAGCCATTCCCGTGGTACACACGCTCTTGATTTTCACACAATATTGCAACGCCTTCATTTTGTTTTCCATCCCTCTCCACGATCAGAATATTCCAGCTGGATGGAGACTTTAATTGAGCACAACGAGTCTCAAGTCTGCGTCGTGAAATGTGTGGGGGTTTTTTCTTACTCTTTGTTGAAGCATTTTTGTAGACCTTCTACAGTTTTTGCCTGTTCGTAGTAGTTTCATAGACTTAGTGCAAAGCAGTCATTATTCTCTCTGTGTAGTCTGAATTGTCCTCTGAAGGGGCCACATTTATGGATCTTGGCACCCAAACCTTGTATAAGCCAGAGCCACACTGATGGTTCATTTCTAGAGGAAGAGATGTGCCCTTCTCCATTTCATCTTCTGGGGATGTCTGGGAGTCTTTTTTGTCCTGTAAAGCTTCTCTGTATCTCTGTTGCTATGGGGATTTATGAATTTGGCTTGCAAAAAGGAGGCAATAAATAACAGTTTGGTTCAGCTGGAGTTCCTAAATGTAGCCTATATTCAGATGTTATAGGAGGAAGAGGAATTGGTGTGGTTTTGGGGTTTTTTTGGTTGGTTGGTTTGTTGCTTGTTTTTTTTTGTGGGGTTCTTTTGTGTTTAATCTGAGAGTCCATAATGAGCTCAGACGCACTCTGACTTTGTCAGCTCCTGGAGTGGGGATGAGGAAGGAGGGAAATTGTTGAAAGGAGGATGCAGCACCTCCAAAGGGGGTGCACAGAGCACTCTTCCTGTGTAGCACAGGCACCAGAGCGCTGTGTTCCTCACCCTCGTCACCTCTGTTACAGATCACTGACTCGGCTGGGCACATCCTATACGCCAAGGAGGACGCCACTAAGGGCAAGTTTGCCTTCACCACTGAAGACTATGATATGTTTGAGGCCTGTTTTGAGAGCAAGCTTCCTGTGGGTAAGTGAAGTGGAAGGTCTGTTGGCTGCTGCTGGCTTCCAACCAAGTTCAGGTCGATGTGTGGATTAGGGGTGTGGGTAAAGTGATGGGCCCAGGACACTGTTTGACTTTTGCAGCTGATCTTCTGGAGGTTGTGTGCAGTCTCACTGCAGAATGTTTGCTGTTGGTGTTGCATTTGAAGTCAAGTAATCCCCTGTGGCTCTTGTGTCGAGCACTTGGGTTTCCTCTGAAAGGGAAATCACATGTTCCTCCCGCAGAGGTGACCGCAGTTGCAATGAGTGACAGTACTGGGGAGCGAACTACACCTCTTTTGGCCTTTTCATGCTTCTCCCCATCTTGCAGTTGATGCCATCATCTCCAGGACCCTGCCTTCCTCCCCAGCTGACCATCTCTTCCCATCTGGTGGGACATGATCTCTCCACACTGTGTACTTGGCAGTGATCCTGTTAGATTAGCAACCATTTTCTGGGGTGGGAGTGTGCATGTGTGTGTGTGTGCAGAGAACGTGGCCTGGGTTTGCACCCGCAGCTGCTCTCTGGTCAATAAAGGGAAGGGGAAACGAGCAGGACAGGAGCCTTGCACTGGCGCTGCAGCGATGGTTGCCTAACGAGTGCTGAGGCTCGTTTCCTGTGAGCGTGACGCATGTGCTGCTCTGAGTGGCAGGGCTCATCTTCAGGACAAACGTGCTGCAAGCAGCCAACACGTGGTCTCCAGCCTCGTTTGTGGTGGTGTGAGCCCGTGCTGGGTCATGGGAGCGCCCATCTTTTCACGGTTGCTGTCACAGTTCTGCTCCCTGTACCTGCTGCTTCTTAGGTCTTATCCTGAAAGATCCCAGAGCACTTCACAGAGCAGTCACCAGCAGCATCCCTCACGTCTGCTGAAAGGCAGCCTCTGGTTGCTGTTCTGCTCCATGTATAAGATACAAATAGCTTGCAAGTTGAACAGAACTTTCTGGCTGTCTTCTCTGGGAGGAATCTGGCTTGTAACACCTCTTCTGTAGTATTTTGTGACTATATTTATTGTGTATTTCAGTGACCCCAGATGCTCAGGATTTTGCTTTTATTTCACCCCAAAGGTAGGGTTTCCAAATACTCCTTAACGCATCAAGACATGCAGCACTAGTGACTCATCTGGGAGTCACTCGTGCTATTTACTCTCCAACACCTGGGTATTTGGGAAGTCTCCAGACAGTCCCACAAAGCCTCTCATAGCTTCCATGTGATCACACACAAGTGGGAAAGGCTTCTTTCTTTAGTTTTGTCTAGACTCTTTATTTCAGTGAGCAGAGGTTTCTTGCCTAGACTGAGCCCCTTATAGCTCTTTTGATTGAGGCAAATGTTTGTTCCCTGGCTCCCTTGTATTGTTGCAAGTTTGTTTTAAAGCTTTCAGTACTGATGGGGATAAAATATTTCTAAATGCAGCTTCTACCTGATGACCAGTGGAGCATTGAGGTGCCAAAGTCTAGAGCTGTTCCATTGAGCAGCTGGATCCTCTTGTGGAGGCTTTCTCTTTAGGGGCCTCCATGCTGCCAGTTTCTTTTTGGACCCAGGTGCCCCAAATTCCTTAGTAAAGAGAAATGCTGCATGGTGTCTCCCAATTTCCGATGCCTGTGCTGGAAAGCAAGGAAATATTAAACTATGGGTGGCACTGTGAGGCTTGATCTTCTGCAGGACTTGGTTAAGGTACTGTGGAAGAAGTGACCACGTCACCAGTGCCTTGTTTCCTCTGTAAGGTCAGCATGGGAATGGGAGAACTGACCAAGTGCTGCTTTATCCCCATGTTTCTCTAAGGTTTTTGTTGGGGTTTTTCCCCCTCACAGTCTCATCAAGTAATAAGTGGTCAGGACTTGTAGTGTGGCAGCCGAGGAGGGTGTTGGCGGAGCACTGGAAGAGAAAAACTGTTGGTAGAGGAAGCCCAGAGCCGTTGGGACCTGAGGGGTCCAAGCAACTGGGGTTTCTCAATCCTTAACCGCAGAAATGAGGAAGAGGAAGTGAGAAGGAGATCCTATTTAGAAAGTCCACCTTATCAGAGTGGAGGAGCTCTTGGGGTGTTTTTTGGAGCTGTGAGTGTTTACTCTTTTCCCCCTTTCAGGGGGTCCTGTATTCCTGACCAGTGCTGTGTTCCCAGGCACACTTACTCTCGCGCTGTACGCTGATCTCGGGGATGAACAGCCTGGCGTGCACTAAATGCTCCCCTGTAGGACTCTTTAGCTCTCTGCTTTTTCTGTAATCCTTCTCTTTCCAGACTTTCTTAAGAGTGTTATGGCTCTTTTTTTCTGGAATTTGACAACCACTTCACCCATCCTGTTTTTCCACTGACTTTGCAAATTAGGAGCTCCCCTAATCTCCCAGGAAGCAGTTCTGTGCTGATGTGAGGTGACCTCTTGGAGACCTCCTGTGGGATGTAGGTATCAGTTTAGTTCAAGATCTCTGGCACTCAACTGTTTTTCTCTCTGCTGCTGATCCAGTCTGGCCCATGGCTGAGGATCTGATGAGGGTGAAGGGAGCTGCCTCGTGCCTTGGGCTCAGTAAACTTCTAGAAGAGCAGCTTGAGTTTTTCCAGGCTGGTCCCTGACAACGTTACCCTCTTGCAGAACGTCTGCTTTTCATTCCTTTGCACCCAGCCCCTCATGGTTTCTGCTTTCTTACTGCCTCTTGGCAGCTCTCCCTCCCAGCCTGACAGATTAATCCTTCCAGTTCTGCTCTCCTCCTCACTGGCTGTTTCATCTTTGTCGTCTCTTCCTGGAAGCTCCAGCTTTCCACCCAAGTTGATGTAATTTAAACAACATTAAAAATGCCTCTCACTGAGCTGTGTGCTTTGAATTTTCTTCTGCAGGTACTGTTGGCTGTCCTACCTGCCCGTCTCCAGGCACACTGGTATATGTATGGCCACAGTCAAAGCTTGTGGTTGGAGAGAGGAGCGCTGCGTGTTTGTATGCAGGCTGTCTGTTAAAGAACAGTGCTGGGATTTCAGTTTGTTTTTGCAGTAACTGATGTTTTATAAGAAAATAACAAGAAAAAAAATCCATCCTAGTCCTCTTTATCCATTGGGCTCTTACATAGCTGGGTTTGAGCTCCTGTATCCCTCAGGAAATTCAAGAAGCAGTTTGTAGTTGATGTGGACCATCTTGTCAGTAGTGTATTCCCTGTTCTGCTAACAGTAGAAGGTGAAGGTGATTCTACTCTGGTGTTGAAGAGCTCTTCAGTGGGTAGAGAGAAAATCTGGGGATGTTGTGTTGAAGATCTGGAGTATTTTCCTGGCTCTGACTGGAGTGACCCAGTGTAACCTGTACATTGAATCTGTGTGTGGACTGAGGGAATGTCCACCTGGCAGCCTCCTAAGGCAAAGTGTGAATATTGGACATGCTTCTGGATAGAAATTCATAGTAAAAGTGAATTCAGACCTTGTGTTTTGCGGGCAGCCAGCTGAGGACAACCATGCCCCAGAGTGGTGGGATTTGGGAATGTGTTATGTACAGACATCTCCTTGGTGGGTGGTATAGCAGCATATGATACTCGGGTCAGCTGACGTGCTGCAATCTTTAAGGGTATCTTGTCCGCCTACCCTATATATTAATTTTTTCCCCCGTGTGAATGTTCTCAGATGTGACAGTTTGTAGCAGTTAAAAGAAGCCATTGGTTTTAGGTGTCCCTAGCTTGGAGGCTCCAGCCGATAAAGATACCTGCTGTGCTGCTGACTGCAGCCTTAGCCTGCTCGCGGTGTGCGTGCCTCCAGCTGGCCGCTCTCTGAAGTGGTGTTTTCCTGGCTTCAGGAGCCTTTTGCCAACCTGGGGCTTGCATTAGCCGTGCGGGGGGTCTTGGACATCTGAGCTGTTCTTTGCCTGAAGAGATATGTGGATAAAGGGATTGCCTTTGTTTCTGCAGGTACTGCAGCATGCAAGGGTCAGTAGTCCCCATATGCCGTACTCCTGAATTAGAGCGGTTTGCCTTCTGCTCCTTTGAATGTGAAATCATTTACAGCCGCAGTAACCTTGACGAGTTGCCTGTGCACTTCCTGCTAGGAGGAACGTGGGCTTCCCAGCTGAATACTTGTCCCTCTGGCGACTTGTCTTTTGCTAGGCTGTCTCACAGCAGCTGGTATTCATCTTCTAGTTCTCTGCAGTTTTTACAGCCATTTGCATCCTACACACACTCAGTGCTTTTAGTTACAGCTTGTTCTCATTATCTTTGGGAGGCTGTCCTTCAGCCAGGATTTATTGTGGAGGCTCTGTATTTTTAGGCTGGACTGTGCTGCCTCCGCAGTTAGCTGCAGACATGGAGGGAGGGGAGGGATGTTGTGAGTTCTTCCTCAGGGGTGGGGAGAGCTGGTGATTTCCTGGCAGGCTGAACATTTCGCACAATGAATCCTTTCATTATGCTTCCAGGAACAGGGAGGATGCCGGACCAGCTCGTGATTCTGGATATGAAGCATGGAGTTGAAGCAAAGAACTACGAAGAGGTATGTCCCCTGGCTGGCTGCACTGCAGGCTCCCCTTTCCCAGCACTCACGTGATGCCATTTGTAGATCTGGGGCTCGTGATGGGAAGCTCTTTTCCCAGCGGTGATGAAAGCCCATCTGCAACCTGCCATTCCAGTGAAGCTTTGTGTGTTAGGGGAGGAAAATAAAAGAGGACAAACACCAACTAAAATGAATTCTGTACTCTGGGAACTGGAGCCTAATGTGTGAATTTCTTTGCTAAGATAGCGTGACCCAGCTTCTGGGCAAAGGTATTAGAGGCAACAAGAGACCGAGACATGAAGTTTCCCCAGCCCCAGCAGCAGAGGGTATTTCAGGTTAATAATCAGATCCTCCTAAAGGCCAAGTTGCGTTGTCGCTGTTCTTACCTTCCTGGCTGCAAGATGTGCTGGCTCAAGAGCCCTGAAATGGCGCTTGTGCACTTCGAAGAACTGGCAGCGTATCAATGTAAAGGTGTTTGGCAGAGCAGAAGCTGGTGTGAAATGGGTATTTGGTTTGAAGGCGTGACGTTGTGAACAGGCACAAAGCCTAAACGTTTCCATCTCAGGAGGACATACCTTTCTTAACCCAACAGCCAGCTGCGTGGAATAGCAGTTGCTCTGTGGCTGGGACAGTCCTGACTGGTTTGGATGCTGAATTTTGATGGCTGCTACTATACTTTTGGCTCATGAGAATTTGGGGTCAATCAGCCCCCAGCACAGAGCCTATGCCTCAGAAAGACAAAGTTGTTGGTAGAGAAGGGTTCCTGGCGATGATTGCTGTGTCCACTGCGCACAACAGCATGGGAGATGCCTTGGGGAGCAGAGGAGGCTGTGCACGGTACCAGTTAGAAAGTGAACGAGTTTCTGAGATGAGCATGCTGGAGTTTTTATATCCTTTTCAGCTTTGGACTACCTGGTCCTGCATGGCTTAAGGCAGTCTAGAGTGCATCCTGTGTGGAGAATGAAAAAGGGGTTGGAGTCAGAGCTGAGCAGAGCAGTCATTGGGCCAGCTGTCCAGCAACCAGCTATGAAGGGTTACAAGATGTTGAAATCTTACGGGATGACCGCTGAGAGCGTAACTGGGAGGATTACAGTGTCTGCATTTACAGAATCTCTTTAGATACAGTCCTGCAGCGTGCTCTGAGCTACAGTGCTGCAGTGCTGCTTAGAACCATTGTCCCTGTGCAGAAAAGTTCTCTTATGCCCCTGTATCTGTGTCCTCACTGATTGTACTGATAAAACTGTCTTGGAATAGAAGTAAATATCCATGATGCTCATCAGAGTATTTAGATCGATGGAAAAGGTCCATGGACAAACATGGAAAAAGAAGAACCTCGACTTGCAGTCCCACCTGATGCCAGATGCAGGTCTTGGCAGTGCTGGCCAGCACCCGTGGCTTGCGAGGGCCTCTCAGAGCGGCAGACTGTGTTGAGCCTTGGTGAGCAGCACATCTGCAAAGGATTCAGACTGGTTTGCTGTTTGTACAGCTGCTACAAATGTTCAGCCACGCTGCTTTGCAGTGTGTTGGCTTTATTTTTTTCCATCCACTCTCTCCCCTGGTTGCTGTAGCGTGTGTGAGTTTTGACTGGACAGGTTGCTGCAAGGCCTCAAAGGGAAGAGCTGTTGCTCAGGTTTCTCTTCTGGAACTGCTGCCTTTTTGTGCCTTTTGCTTGTGATGTTCATCTGCTGTAAGGTACCAGTGGTGTGTCATCGCCCTCCCAGTCCTTCTCGTTGAACTGCTGCCAGGAGACTTGATGCAGGGAGTTGAACGAGGGTCACTGATACTGCCCTGCTTGTGCGTGGATGTGTGCAGTGAGGGGAGGGGTGGGGTGGTGTCCAGGCTTCATAAGCCTTCACAGATCCAGATATTCTTGGAGCAAAGCCACTGGGAGAGTGAGCTGGGTTAGAAAACCTAACTGTGTGGCAGTGTCATACCTTGGTTCTCTGGGGTAGGAATAACTTTCTCAATTCAATACGTAGAAATGAAGGTAGGGAAAAGTGAACAGACTTTTCAAAGGGCACCAAGAAGGCTTGGCAACCTGGATTCCTTTCCAGATCAGCTACCCCTCGCCAGTCCTTGGTTATAGTGTGTCTCTTTCTATGCTAGGAAGAGACTTGGGCTTCGATGGGTCTTTGAGTGACTCCTGAGAAGTTCAGTGGAGTTGTCTCAGTTGTTCTGGTGGTCCAGTTGTTCCTTCTGGGATGATGGTGTTCCACCATCACAGGTGCTTGGTGGGCTTTTTACAAAATCCCATGAAGTAGCTGTGCTTTGCTAAGGATGAAGGCGGTTCCAGGATGCACCATCTTGGTGTACGTGCAGACCTGACAGCAGCTATGGGATGTTACTCGCTACAGCTACTGAGAGCAGCTGTAGGGATGCAGGATGGAGCAGACTTGGCTTTTCCAAGTGAAACCATTGTATGGTGAATGAGGAAAAGTGCCCTCCAGGAAGATGATGGAGCCAGTCAATGAAGGGTCAGCTTGTTGGTAAAGCTGCCTTAGTCCTTGTGTGTGTTACAGACCTGCTGCTCTACCTGTGTGGGCCATAGGCACTCCTACGCTGGTCCCAGCTTCTCACCAAAGCTCTGCTGGCAGATAACATGTACCAGGCCACAGGGTTTTGTCAGTACAACCTCTTGATAGAGCCAGGCTCTTCTCGGTGACAAACAATGATAAGACAAGGGGTAACGGACACAAACTGGAACACAGGAGGTTCCACTTCAATTTGAGAAGAAACTTCTTCTCACTGAGGGTGACAGAGCACTGGACCAGGCTGCCCAGAGAGGCTGTGGAGTCTCCTTCTCTGGAGACATTCAAAACCCGCCTGGACGCCTTCCTGTGTAACCTCATCTGGGTGTTCCTGCTCCGGCAGGGGGATTGGACTGGATGAGCTTTTGAGGTCCCTTCCAATCCCTAACGTTCTGTGATTCTGTGATTCTTGGCTAGAAAGCAGGAGGGGTTTAACTTCCTGTTTCCTACCCCTCCTCACAAACCACCCCGAATTGACACTGCTGAGCTGGCAGCGCTGTAATATACGGCTCATCTCAGCATAAAAATCCTCAGATGACTGCTGGATGGCCTGCAGCTTGCCAGGATACGTGTGTTGTGAAGACCCCTCAGTGAGACGGCTGATTAGATAGCGCTGGCCTGGACGTGAGCATCTGTTCAGGTGGGCTCCTACGCCCAGGCAGCTGCCTCTAGAAGTGGCGTTTCAGGGATGCCTGCACCCTGAATGTCCTCTTGCCTGCCTGTTAGCACCTGGACCACTGAGGGATGCTGTCCTGTGGCCTATGTCTGTGTAATCCTGCATGGTGGTGAGCTGCAGGTGCTCCACGTGTTTTCTGCAGTTCTCTGTAGAGCATCTTTCTTCCCCCGCATTTCTGGGGGACACGGCATCTGGCCTCCATGGCGGGGCCTGTCACTCGTTGGTAACAGTGATGAATTCTACGCAAGAACCACAGTTACCCAAACCCTGTGCTGTAGCTGTGGCAGGAACTGCAGTTACCTTCCTTTGAGCAATGTCCTTGTGTCACAGATTTTACATAATGTGTAGTTACTGCTGGGACTGGGGCACGGACGCAGGGTTTTACGTGTATGACTTGAAACAATTGCTGTTGTGGACCGTGCTTTCTAATCGAATTTCCTGCGGATTTTTCTTTTTGGCGGCAAGTGTGACTTGCAGGACTGTTGTGCACGAAGCTGCTCTCCTCCCAAACCAGCTCTGAGGGGAAGGCCGGGTTTTCTCTCAGGCCGGCCCGCAGCCCGCCTGTCCCGTCAGCGTTCCAGCAGCGCCGCCTGGTGGCTGCAGGCCGCCGGAGCACTCGGTCGCTGCCAAGAGCGTGTGCTGCCCGTGGGGCTGAGAGTCTCGGTGACAAAAACCCCGAGCTCCCGTGGGTGCCATCAATCCGCTACCACTGGGAATCAGGCTGCCCGCGCTTTCTGGGGCGTGTGACAACAGTCAGCAAAGCGTGTCTCGGTGCTAATACCCGGTGTGCCTACAGAACAGTGTGGTGTGCGTATGTTAGTTAGTCACCTGCTCCTCAGTCTGTGACTTCTATTCACTGGAGGTTTAGTCATGTGGCAAACTCTTCTGCCCACTCCTCAGAAGCCAACTGTGAATAAGCTAACATTAGGCCGAATAAGGAAGAAATGTGCTTGTATGCATAGTGTGCTCCTCCACTGTGTAGGAGGGGTAGTAGGAAAGTGTGCTTCAGAGAACAGGTGGGAGAAGTGATAGTGTTTTATGCAACGGTAGTTTCTGGCTTGTAGAGGTGTTTCCCTAGGGGAAGGATGCCCCAGATCTGTAGTATGTGCGGAGGAGTGGTTCAAACTGGCAGTAAAAGCCCATGTGGGAGCTTTTGGGTTTGGTTCAGTGATTGCCTGACTCTTCTGTTTTTCTAGATTGCTAAAGTGGAGAAGTTGAAGCCTCTGGAAGTAGAGTTGAGGCGCCTGGAAGATCTTTCGGAGTCCATCGTTAATGACTTTGCCTATATGAAGAAACGAGAAGAGGAGATGAGGGACACGAATGGTAAGACACTCTGTGCTCCTTCAGAGGGATGGAGTTCCAAGACGTTTTACTTCTGCTGACTGTGTGATTAGGACATTATTTGGACATCAAGCAATTATAGTGGTCTTTGCCTGTTCTGTTCCTAGTAAAGGAAACCTGCTGATACTCCTCTCCTTAGAAGCAGTCATTAGGTCTTGTGTGTCCCATCTCTAGAAATAATTTCTTTCTGTCTCTGTTCCTAATGTGAATTACTCTGTACTATTTAATGTTACCCGTTAATGACACTTTCACCTTGTTCCCTCTCGTTGTCCTTCTCATTGTTCACTCTGCTTTTATCCTCAAGTACTGCTGGTGCTTGGGTGCCCTTGTCTTCATGCTGTGTGCTGTCTTGCCTTTTGAGTTTCATGCAGGTGGAGAGAGAAAATCCTGGAAACTTGGCCCTCTTGAGGCACATCGTGTGATGTCGGACTCCCGTGCAATGGTTTGTTTTCTGTTTCAGAGTCGACAAACACCCGAGTTCTGTACTTCAGCATTTTTTCCATGTGCTGTCTCATCGGACTGGCCACCTGGCAGGTTTTCTACCTGCGTCGCTTCTTCAAGGCCAAGAAACTGATTGAGTAAAGGAGCAGGTCCTCCCCACCTCCTCTCAGACCCAGCTGGACACCGCTGGGACTCGGCCACGGCCCCCTGGAGCCATCTCACCAATAATACCCACTGACTGGAGCTTTCTGCAGGAACTTGGACCCTGAAGGGAAAGGGGAGCCTAAACATTGGAGGCAATGGGGGACTTGTGAAATCCTGTTGGATGTTGGGGGGG